TGCGCCAGCCCAGGCCCCACCCCCCCCCAAAAAAAGAAAAAAAGAATATTCATTATTCATAATATTGCAAACATTCGACACCAGTGAATTTAAGAAAATTACAAGTTATTTAGACAGGGCTAAATATCAAAAGAATAAACTAAAATAAGCAAAAGATTGCCTCTGTGAACAAAGAAATTGGGGCCATGTTAGAAAGAGAAGGCTAGGTGCATGTATAGTTTTTTTTTTTTTTTTTTTTTTTATTGTAGAGCTAGCTGACTTTTTAAACTGCTTTTGCAGCTCTGATAAATATTAACTTAAAAGAAAGAGGCTATCAATTTTCCTTTGAGAGTATACAGCTCAGCGAAAGAAAGAGCAAGTTGAGTAGTTGCGGCAATTTCATGGTGTCTATGCAGAGACTGTGGGGCACCACCCCATGGCTGAACACATAATATGTCCTAAATCCACAGTCTTCTTGTAAACACTGACTTGAAGAGCAGTCACTCGCCAAATGTCAAATTAACAATATATCAGAGCTGACTGTAGACCTGTAATGCTGGCACGCTGGAAGGCTGAAGTAGGAGGATCTCAAGTTCAAGCCCAGCCTGGGCAACTAGCAAGAACTTGTCTCAAAATAATCATTTTTTTAAAAAAAGTATACTGAAGAAATGCTTCTGAGCAACTAACAATGGAAATACATCATCAATCATTTTTAATTCATGTAGGGAAAAATTCATCTGGAAATTGTTGTTGTTGTTGTTTTTTAAATACAGGGAATAAACTGTTTCAGAAATTTAACTGTATGATATAAAAGATTTAAGAAAGAGGGGCCAGTGAGATGGCTCAGCAGAATAAATGCTTGCCTGGCAAGCACAAGGGCCTGAGTTTAATCCCTGGTTCCGCAAAAAAAACAAAAAAACAAAAAAACAAAAAACATTTAAGAAAGGTTCCCAATGGAGACAAACTTGACTTTACTCTGTATAATATTCATAAGTTGGATTTACAAAGGTGTTTTTTCTGCATTTTTGAGACAGAGTCTTGCTATGGCTATGCAGCTCAAACTTACTACATAGTCCAGGCTGTCCTCGAACTCACGGGAACCCTCCTGACTCAATCTCCCAAGTGCTGGGATGATAGGTATGCACCACCATGCCACACAAAGGCGATTTATTCAGATGGTGCCCAGCATCAAACTCAGATCATCATGTATTCTCTGCCACTGAACTCCATGCCCAACCCCCAAAAGGCTTGTACAACTAATATCACTATGGCAAAAACATTTTTGTCTAGGTTCAAATCCCTAGTAAGTATATGACTCTGTCACTGAAGTATACTGTAGCCCACATTTTAGGAAGAAATGATATCTTTAACCTTTAAATAGTATTATAGTCTATAAGCCAGTAAGTTCAATGAATGGCTCTTTGCTGCACAACACTAAGGACTGAACCAGGGGAATCTGTCCCTGACTTCTACCCCAGTCCTTTTTTGGAGACAGGGTCTTACTAAGTTGCCCAGGCTGGCTTTGAACTTGTGATCCTCCTGCCTCAGACTTCTACCACACCCTGTGTAATAAGCATTTTAATGAAAAATTTCTTTTATCAGTATTATAATTTGACAGCTGATTTGTTTCTACACGTTGACAGAAAATTAGCCAAAACAGCAAAAGCTCACATAGCATTCAAAACTTCGTTTTTTCAACTCGCAAGTATTTTATTTTCTTTTTGATTTTATAGTCTAATAAAAGCATTAGGAAAGTACTAATTTTCTTACTTTAGCTCTTGAATCTAAACATTACGCAAATATGTTTAAATGCTAGAAAAATCTTTACCTGGCTTTATCTAGATCTAGATGGTATGAACTGGTTGGGATTAGTTTTGATTCTTATTCATATAGGGGTAAGAGCACAATGGAAGGTGGACGCTAAGTACTTACTCATCAAAAGCTAGCATTAGTTTCAGCTGAGAGAAGAGTTTGGGCTAAGATCCAACTTCTTTTAGGAGTGTTCCTACTGGGACTCAGTGAAATAGATGTGCAAATAGGAAAGTAATCTAGTATTTATTGAAGAGATTCCTCATTTAATGACTGTGTTACATTATTGCAACTAGGCTGCTAAATGGATTGGTAACAAATGAGGAATTATATATAGTATGTGCGTTACAATATTCAGAACAAGAAAATGGTCAAAGGAAACTCCAATTTGATGACTTTGCATAACTCTTACATTCAGCACTGTATAGAACAATGTATAGTAGAACATAAAACTGTAGTATTATACAGTATAGTATAATCGGCAAAAATTACAGTATTGCATAAACAAGGTGCACTGTATAAAAATAAAGACACTGAGGTTCTATAAACAAGATATACAGAACTGTAAAGACGGATCATAATTCCAACCTGTCATTAAACAGGTCAGCGAATGAGGAATATCTATCCTTTCCTTATAAAAGCAGAAAATTTGCCCTGGTTTCTGTGACCCAAATTCCCTCTCCTACTGCTGAAGCAAAGCATTCTTGCATGCATGCTGACATACTAACTAGGCTTAAGGTTCTGTGGGTCAATGGGAGGAAGGTTAGATTTCAAGAAAAGAGAACACATATATATTTGGGTTAGTTATTTTATGATCTTGGGCTGGAAAAGCCCCTCACACTGCTATCATAGTAACAGCTAACACTATGTGCATAGTAATCTTTGTTTTAGTCTTCTTGCTAAGCCAACTTAAATTGTGACTCACTTGTCTACTGCCTAAATCCTTTTTCCCTTTGCTGAAAACAGCAGCAGTCATCTACTGTGACAATAAGCTAATGAGCAGATAAACAAACCCGGTGTACTGGTATTTACTCAGAACATTTAGTTTTAGCTCCAAGTAATTTTACTGTTGCTATCTCACCATTGGTATAAGAACCTTAGAGTGGTATTTCTAGAAGACTGAGCAATACATTCCCACCTGTTCTGACTAGAAAGTGGAGGGTTGATATTTCTCATTAAAATATATTTCATAATCTTGTTCAAACTGCCTTATCACCTTGTTTCTGGGTAGAAGTGGGATCACAGATATGTGACAGGGGCATTCAAACCTTCCACTTTGGTATGTCTTTTCACTGCCCCCCACAGTGCAGTTTCCCCTCTTGTTGCTAAACTATGAGCTTATTTTCAGTGGAGATTTTTTTTTTTAAACTTCAGAGTTCCAGATTTTAGTTGTTAACATTTTATTTTCCATTTTTTTCTGCCACCCTGGGTTTCACCAGCCCTGAACCAACTGCACATGACTTACTGATTGGAAGACTGTCGCATTTACACGGCTCACACACATATGGACTACAGGACTCGTATTCATGTGTGGCACATGGGAGGTTTTCTTACCAGAGACCACACAGAATTCTGCTCAGAGAGGAATGTTCTTGTCACTTCTCTGGCTGTCAGAACCATTTTCTCAGTTCCCCACTTTCAGTTCTCTCTTGTGTCCTTTAAGCATTAAAACCACCTCTAGGGTCTACACCTGTAACCATATTCCTCCAGGGCATTACAACTTCAACTTATGATTACCAGTCTGTTTCATGTTGTAGTTAAAAACTTGCTGTTTTCAAAAAGAATTCGAGACTGATGAAAACTGGAGGGCTGGCCAGATGGCTTAGTGGATTGAAGTGCCTGCTTAGGCAGGCGCAGGGACTGGAGTTTCATCCCCAGCATGTTGTGCTGGCCTCATCCCTGGGGCTCACTGAGACTGAGACTGGGTGTGATGGCGCATGCCTGTAATCCCAATGCTCGGGAGGCTGAAAACAGGAGGATCACTACGAGTTGTGATCTGTGTAGTGAGACCCTGTCCACCTTGTGCTAAATACATAAAAAAAAGAAAAAGAAAAAGAAAAAAGAAAATTGGATAAAACTCTAAGCTAATACCTAAGCATTTAAAAAAATCCAATAAGGGCCGACCAAATAGCTCAGCAGGGGATGGGGGTTCGATCCCCAGGCCTTGGCCCCGCCCTGGGGTACGCTGAGACACTGATTGAGACTGGATGTGGTGGTACGGCCTGTAATCCCAGCACTTCGAAGGCTGAAAACAAGAGAACCACTACGAGTCTGATGCATGTAGTGAGGCCCTGTAGACCCTGTCCTAAATGCATTTAAAAAAAAAAAAAATTCAGCATTTTCAAAATTAACAGGCATTTGAAGATCTGATAAAGTGGTGCCTTAGTTCCTCTAACATGTTGTTTCACTTATTACAGTTACGTGCTGACAGGGGCATTTAAATCTAAATAACCCAGTGTTTCAAAGAAACCAGCATATAAATTTCCCTCAAATGTATTCTTATATAAATTACCTTTAAACTTTTCTATGAAAGTCTTAAGGAAAAAAAAATCTGTAAATAAGAACTTAAAAACACTTCTAAATGCTTACTGAATAAAAAGAGCAATTTTCTGTGTGAATGCATGACTTTATGTGAATTCTCTGTGTGAATCCAGAGACCAGCTCTAACATAACAAAGACAGAGAGGCTTTTGTGTTGGTACTGAGGTAGCTAAATGGTCTAATGGGAGATAATTAAATTATTGGGGGTACTGCCCTTGGAGGACACTGTTCTTGTGGGACCTCATATAGTTCTTGTGAAAGTAAGCTGTTATCAAAGGAGCAAGATCAGCCCTTCCCTGCACTCTGGCTTCCTGTCTTACCATTATGAGCTTTCTGTACCACACATGCTCCTGCCATGTAAATGAGCCACACAGATTCTCTGCAGAATCAAGCAAAAGTCTGCACCAAGCTCTGGAACATCTAAAATCTATGAGCAAAATAAGCCTCTTTTCTCTCTGAAGCACCCACCCTCAGGTACTATGGTATAGCAATGGAAAACATACCACTACTTTTTTTTTTGGGGGGGGGGTAACCTGGGATTGAACTTAGGCACCTGTGCTTGCCAGGGAAGCCCTTATTCTACTGAACCATCTCTCTGGTCCCAAAACAAACTACTACAAATACAATATAGCATGGTAGTGACAAATACTACCCACATGAAGTAAAACTGACCTGCAGGTTATTCAGAGGCTCCATCTTCATAACCGGGCCCAAGGTGTTGAGAGGCAGGGAGACATCAATGCTTTGGTTTGGCATTAGTGGTGTATGGATGGCCAGAGGAGCACTTGGGATGACACCAAAGCTAGGAAAGAGAATGAAAAAAATCAAAGATTAATGAGTCAGGATTTGGCTACATTTTGGGTTTCAGTAGACTTTTATTTCATTTTAAGGAAACGCTTTTCAAGAAAATTATATGGAAGGAATGGCAGGAAGCAAGGTTTTCAATTCCTACTTGCCCTAACAATGGTCACATTATTACCTCCGTATTCCATTAAGTTGCTTTGAGGAAAGGATATAATATTCATAATAACAGAAATGTTTCGATATGATTTTGAAAGTTTCTTCAATTTACCAAGCCACTGAAGAAACACAGGTTTGATGAACACTGGTAAAATCCATCCTTCAGACATAGCGGGGTACTCTTGTAATCCTAGCACTCTGGGAGGCAGAGGCAGTAGGACTGCAAGTTTGAGCCCAGTCTAGGGAACTTAGTAAAACCCTATCTCAAAATAAAAAAATTAAAAAGGATGGGTCATGCAGCTCAGTATAAAGGCTCTGGATTCATCCCCCAGGAACACACACACACATATACACACACACCTCTTTTCTTAGATAATCCTTGCAAAAGAAGACTTAAGACTTTCCACTCTGTAAAGTACAATAAATGGGTATTTTAATAGCTTGACAACCTGTCTCATCAGTCCAGAAGATTGTTTAGTCCTAAGTTTCATTTTTCTTATTTGTTCACTTAAACAGGACACAATCACCGGAAAGAGCTAATCTAAATAGAGCATGACTGGCTTATGCTTTCTAAATAAGTAGGACAAGTTGTAGGTGTAAATACGGCTACTTTCTAGAACCAAGGAAAACGAGTAGTCACCATTTCAAATTCTTGAGGAGTGCCCATTTCATAACAATGCACGAATGGTAAAAAGACTGGAAATGTAGCCCGAGCCTGATAATATATAAAAGACAACAACCATGATGGACGGTGGATAGTCTAAGAAACATAAAAGCTTCACAAGTGGAGCAGAAATGGAGAAATGGGCTAGAAATGATGATATGAAATTTACACTTTATTATCAGTTTGTTTTATCTGAAGACAAGATGATAATGTTTATAAAATTAAAGAATTCATATAAATAGTATTTTTATTTTTCAGCTGTCAGAATGACTCAAGAAATACCTTTCTTTTCTTAGGTAAATTATCCCTTACCATACCAAAATGTAATAAGGAAGTGATCCTGAGACTCACAAGTTGGAGACAGCCTGGGAAACTCAGCCAGAATCTGTCTAAAAAAATGGGGGTTGGGGAGGCTGCTAAGTGCAAATGTGTGAGTTCAATATCAAAAAATGAAGATGGCGGTGGTGGTGATATTTTTTAAAAGGCTAGACAGAAAAATTGTACATGTGAAATATAGCTAAACAAGAGTCAGTAAGTGCATAATGTGAAAGACGAAAGAATAAAATCAAAATAATCTGAAAAAAAAATCTAAACATAAATGCTGAAAACTTTCCTACAAAGACTTCAATGTATGAATTGAAATGACACCTTCTTTCAGGCAAAACTGACCAACAACAGTCAATATTGACAAAATTCTAGTAAAATCATTAGACTGGGGCTGGTGAGATGGCTCAGTGGTCTAAAGCACCTACTTAGAACAAGCTTAGCAAAGCACAGGGACCGCGGTTCAATCCCCCAGCACCACA